CATCATCATCATCATCACCATCATCATCTTCATCATCCTCATCATCATCATCTTCATCGTCTCTGCTGTGCCACAGATGACCTAGAATCTTTAGCGATGTGTTTGAATCTCTCTCTCTCTCTCTCTCTCTCTCTGTCTCTCTCTCTCTCTCTCTCTCCCTCTGTCTCTCTGTCTCTCTCTGTCTCTCTGTCTCTCTCCCTCTGTCTCTCCCTCTCCCTCTGTCTCTCTCTCTCTCTTTCTCCCCCCCCCCTCACTGATCGTCTGTGAATGATTCTGTTATTTCTATTCAAATGTGACTTTGAACACATGTGACTTTGATGTGCAGATGAGAAACAAACGTACCAGTTGTAGGGAAGTTTCCCGTCTCGTTCGAACGAAGCAAAATTGACAAACGTCTCAGCTCCACATTCTCTGAAACAGAAATAAATACGGGGACATGGAAAGTGATGAGCCGTCAGAAAAACTGACGAGTCATCAGAAAACTGAGGAAGTGAGAAGTGAAATATGAAAATAAAATAACAGAAGTTTGTTCACTTGTGTTGAAGTCAGGACGACTCACAGAGAATCATTCAAATGACCGATAACACAGAACAAAGTGAATGATGATGATGATGATGATGATGATGATGAAGGTGTTTGGTACCTGGTCATCTGCAGGTGTTTCTTTCGCAGAACGAGCAGGAAGAGGACGAGGAGACTGACGAGCAGGACGCTGAGGACGGCGAGGGCCGAGATGGCCGCCACGCTCGGGTTCATCTCTTTAGCTGCAGAGAGACGGACTTTTACTTCCTGTCTCATATGTGACGCTGATACAAACATTAACATTAAAAGTCTGAGAGCAGCACAGTGAGCTTTACTGTGAAACATGTCAGAGTGCTCGACAGCGCCACCTACCCGCAGTGGTAATGGTGATGTGTGCGGGCTTGCTCGGCGTGCTGTAGCTGAAGCTGGTGACGGTGCAGTTGTAGGAGGACGAAGGCGTCAAACCAGAAACTGTCACCAGATGAGAAGTGACGGTCTGAGGCTCCCGCGCCTGAAAGAGACACTTTTATTTAGAATCAACTCAAGTCCATGACGTCACAGTGACGCTGACCTCTGACCTCTGACCTCCAACCGCTTCATCTTTGAGTCCAAGCGAACGTTTAAACTTAAATAGATAAAACTCTTGGCTGAGATATTGTTGACGGACGCCAAAGACAGAAATATGTAAATCTAACAGCAGATTGATCATCGGCACGACGGAGAATAGATCAAACACGTTTCCACTTCCTGCCACAGGACCGCCCACACAAGCACTCAACCAATCGTGAGTCAGTCTCAGCCATCAGGTTCAAATTACTAATTAAAACCAAACTGATCAGAAGTAATAAATTTATTGTCTGAACGTCCACTCAATTTTATACGACCCAGAACGTGTGGCTTCACTTGTAAGGAGCAGCCATCTTGGTTTCTGTGGCATTAAGCTCGGTTTATCCTCAGAGGAGCATGAACAGGAAAGTCTCACAGATCCACCATGTTTGTACCTTCAGCTCTCGGCTTCCTCTGGCTCTGCAGATGACCTGGTAGTAGTCGACCACTCCCTCCTCGCTCCACAGCAGAGTGACGGACGAGTGTGTGGCGTTGACTGCGAACAGAGACGTGGGAGGAGCCGGCTCTGAAACCACACACAAACGCCTCAGTGAGTTTCAAATTAAAAGCTCTAGGTGTGAATGTGTCGAGCATCAGGAACACAGAGACTTAATGTGACACTTCCTGTGACAGAAACCAGTTTCAGTTTGAAGAGGAAGGAGGAGCTACAGCTGAAACAGGAAGTGATTTTTAACTATTTATATTATTTTTATTCTCAAGTGTGTGTGTGTGTGTGTACATGTGTGTGTGTGTATGTGTGTACATGTGTGTGTGTGTGTA